TTTATAGACTTTTTTAACGTGGTCATAAAGTATCTATGTTCAAACGGGTGGCCAGAGAGGCTTTATTGGCTAGCTGAAAACCGAGGAGTCTCTAGTAGGTGAACCAAGGAACCGAGAAGTCTCGATAGATGAGCTAAGGTACCACTTACTTTTTGTGGATGACCCAGAAAATATCCTGTTAAAGGGCTTAGAAATTCGTATTTTACTTTTATGGGTCCTCTTTAGATCGAAGCATTTTTAGGGATCATCTCTACCTCGAAGACCATTTAATGAGACCTCTGTATTCAGAAGCGTGCAGCCCGAGAGGCTATATTGGAGACATAGGGAGAGATGTAGATAAGCTGAGAGACCCAAAAGAGAGTATTTATAGGTAACTGGAAGGTAGTCTTTCAAGCCTCCCAGAAGGATGTTTTAATAACCTCCCCCTTATGGGTCTTTATAGACTAACAAAAATCAATTTCTATACGTTTTGAACCACAAAAAGAGAGTGTATATACACCACCAGAAGGGAGTCCTACCTACCTCAAAAATGCCCTCTATGGATATAGAAGACCTTTAAAGTTCTCCTATGGGAACAAAAGCCCTTTCAAGTTCTTCTATGGGAATATAATCCCTTTAAATGTATTTAGTTAGGTCTTCTATGGATATAGAATAGGGTTTGAGTCTGTATAGATTACCAGAAGATAGTCTGTATAGACCACCTCATAATGACCATCAAAAAGCCCTTTCAAGATCTCCTGAGTAGTTAAAAGCACTTTCAAGGTCTTCTATGGAGTTAAAAGCCCTGTCACGGACTTCTATAGAGTTAGAAGCCCTTCAAGGTCTTCCCTTTTAAGTTCTTCTATGGAGTTAGAAGCCCTTTCAAACTCTGTTGTGGATATAGAAGCCCTTCAAAATTTCCCTATGGAGCCCTTTCAAGGTCTTCTATGAAGACAGAAGCCCTTTCAAGGTCTTCTATGAAGACAGAACCCCTTTCAAGGTCTTCTATGGAGATAGAACTCTTTCAAGATCTTCTATGGAGCTACAAGTACTTTTAAGCTTTTTTATAAAGTTACAAGTCCTTTCAAGGTCTTCTCGTTTTTAACCTATTAAAGTTCTTCTTTTGGTAGAAGACATTCTGGAGTCCTTTCAAATTTTTTTTCAGAAATCTTCTAAAGGTTTCTAAATTTCTTCCCCTGCCTAGAGACCGAATACTTTTCTCATTCAGTGTATCATTTCTTGTTGTCTAATTAACTTTTCTTTGACAGCTACACTACTACCCACACAATCATAATCGCCCGCACATACACACAAACACATGTGTGTGTGTTTATGAATGCCTAATTTTAAGACTTTTTAAAAGGAATGTTTATATTTTCCTTGGATCATCCATATTCGATGGTGGCGTCGCTCCCCTTCCACACCCCTCTCTTCGCTCCATCTCTCTCTTCTCTGACGAGACCATGTAAATGTGTAACAAATTTTTTGGATGAAAAAGCAAAAACGACAACAACAACGCGTGTTTTTGGGGTACAATGTACTCTGCACTCGTACACCTTAAGAATTTCAGGAATTTTGACTATTAATTTCAATTAAATTTATCTTTGGCTATGGGCCAAATTTTCGAAGAAAATTCCAATACTGTTTACAGCCAGTGGAAAAGATGCGAAAAAAAGGAAAGAGAGTGAGAGAGGGTGGGTGGTTGGTTGATATGAGAGCAGCAGTAAGTCGGCTACGAATAAAGTGATCTTATTAATTTGAAATGGGATGGTGGGGTGGGGGTGACTCTTTGCTGGTGTAAAGAATAATTAAGTCAATTCGTTTCGTATCGAGAAATGTGTTTATGACACGAAATAATGTCTTTGATGTTAATTTTTGAAATGAGGCGAATTGCATTACGAATTTTCTATGTTGTGCATAAGTGTATGAAGAGTCACTAAGAATATTCCAATATTAAAAGTAATCGGTTGCAGAGTTATATGGGGGACCATAACACTGGCATTTTCGGTGGAAAATGTGAATTTTATTTTCAAAAGTTTTTAGAAAAATTGTCTATGAGCAAATTTTTTGATATGTTCCCTCCATAAACCCAGAAGTACGACAATTGGATACTAAATTCCACTCAATGACACCCAAACATTATTTTTGACCATTCAAAGTGATTCGAAAACGTTTTCTAGGGCTTCTATAAATTTTAAACGGTGTTTATAATTTTTCTTTGCTTGATTTATAAAATTTGTATTTCCGAAAAATTAACTCTGTGACTGTTGAGAAATTTTAATTTATTTTTTTTTTCAGAAATTTTGAAAATTTTAGGGATTAACAAAATATACCAAAAAAAAAAAAAAACAATTGTACAAAATCAAGGACTTTATTGTAAATTTTATTAACGGTTTCTTCAAGAGGTCGAAATGTTCGACAAATTATTCTCAAAGGCCCCTGAAAAAAAAAATCCGCAATTTATAAACAGCTTTAAGTTTTTGGAAAATAATTTTAAGTAATTTCCGATTTAACCTATTGCTGGTCTTCTGGCCATAGAATGTCTATAGATAATCTTCTAGCCATAGAAGACCTGTTATAGAAAACCAGTAGAAGATCTTGTAGTCATAAAAGATCTGTAGGATGTCTTCTAGACATAGAAGACCTGTAGAACTTCTAGACATAGAATAACGGTAGAAGAAGTTCTTGTCATAGAAGACATTTAGAAGGTCTTCTATCCATAGAAGACCTGTAGAATGTCTTCTATACATAGAAGACCTATATAATGTCATATCCATAGAAGACCTGTAGAAGGTCTTCTAGCCATAGAAGACCTGTACAAGGTCTTGTAGTCATAGAAGACCTGTAGAAGATCTTCTAGCCATAGAAGACCTGTAGAAGGTCTTCGAGTTATAGCCATATAAGGCCTGTAGATGACCTGGATAGAAGACCCATAGAAGACTTGTAGAAAGTCTTCTAGCCATAGAAGACCTGTAGAAGGTCTTCCATTTATGGTCTTCTAGCCATAGAAGTCCTATAGATGTTCTTTTCGCCATAAAAGACATGTTCAAGGTCTTCTATCCATAGAAGGCCCGTAGAAGGTATTCTAAACATAGAAGACCTGTAGAAGATTCCCTAACCATAGAATACCTGCAGAAGGTCTTCTAGTCATAGAAGACCTGTAAAAGGTCTTCGAGTCATAGAAGACGTATTGATGGAATTCTAGCCATAGAAGACCTTCTATCAATAGAAGACTCGTGTAAGGTCTTCTAGCCAGGGAAACTCTGCAGATGATCTGCTAGCCACAGAAAACCTCTAGAAGGTTTCCTAAACATCGACGACCTTTTAAAAGCCTTCTAGCTATTGGAGGCCATGTGAAGGACTACTAGGACCCCAAATGTCAAGTTTCAGCGGATTTGGTTGGAATTGACGTCAGAATCCTTGAAAACACCGAAAATCGGGAGGCACCGTTATATGTGGATAAGCATGGTGGTAGCAAATATTTTTTTGCATAGAGAGAACAGACTCACTGAGCACCTAAATTGTCAAACTTCCTCTAATTTGGTTGGGAATTGTGGCAGAAACCTTCAAAATACCGAATAACGGGAGGTATCAGTATATTGGGGCTATACCAATTAGTTGACCTGTAGCAAATATTTTTTGCGGGAGAAGAAGCAGGAACAGACCCACAGGGAACACCAATTATTAAGTTGGTTGGAAATTGTGACAGAAATCTTCAAGATATCGAAAATTGGGAGGAAGACTTATATGGGGCTTACATCATTTAGTGGAGCTGTAGCGAACATTTTTTGCAAGTATGGAACAGATCTACGAAGAACCCCAAACGTCAAGTTTCATCCAAGGTGGTTGGAAATTGTGGTAGAAACCTTAAAAATACGGAAAATCGGGAGGAACCCTTATATGGGGGCTATACCAATTAGTGGGCCTAATTGGGCAAATAATTTTTACAAAAAGAGAACAGACCTACCAATAACCCCAAATGTCGAGTTAAATGTAATTTGGTTGAAAATTGTGCCAGAATCCTTCAAAATACCTAAAATCTGAAGGTGCCGTTATATGGAGGCTATACCAGTAAGTTGACCTTAACCAAACATTACCAAATATACCTACCAGGAACCCCAATTGTCAAGTTTTAGCTAATTTGGTTGGAATTTGTGACGGAAACATTCAAAATACCGAAAATCGGGAGCTATCATTGAGTGGACCTGTAGCAAATATTTTTTGCCAAGAACCCCAATTGTCAAGTTGTAGCTAATTTGGGTGCAAATTGTCATAGAAACTTTCAAAATATCGAAAATCGGGAGGTAGAATTATATGGGGCATACATCAATTAGTGGACCTGTGCGAACATTTTTTGCAAGTATAGAACCGATCTACCCAGAAACTCAAATGTCATGTTGCATCTAAGGTGGTTGGAAATTGTTGCAAAAACCTTCAAAATATTAAATATTGAGAGGTGCCCTTATATTGGGGCTATACAGTTTAGTGGACCTGTAGCAAATATTTTTTGGATGGAGAGAATAGACCTTCCAAGTAAATCAATTGTCAAGTTTCATTTAACTTGGTTGGAAATTGTGGCAGAAACCTTCAAAATACGGAAAATTGAGAGGTGTCGTTATATGAGGGCTATGTGGGGTAATACAGATTAGTGGACCTGTAGCTAATATTTTTTTCATGAAGAGAATTATTGGACCTGTAGCAAATACTATTTGCCCACCGAAAACCCCAATTGTAAACTTTCATCTGATTTTGTTTTAAATTGTATCGGAAACCTTAGAAAAATCCGCAAATCGGGTGATACTGTTATATGGGAGGAGGTATCGTTACGCGACAGTCCCTAATCAAAATAATGCGTTGGTAAGCCGGTTGGTAATAAGTATATTTTGCTGGGAAGCCATTCTCAACCCTCAAATAATTTAAGATATTTTTTTTTTGGCTACCTTACTTTTAATATTTTGCCTATTGGATCCCAATTCGGATTAGAACCCAAAACATCTTTAAAAAAAATAAAAAATCGTATATTTCTTGCGATTGGATTACTTGGCATCACTAATTGTTTATTTATTTACTTTTTTTTTGTTTTCTGTTTTGATTTGGCAACAAATTGCACAATCCTATCAACAGTGTATTGACCTAACACACATAAAATTCGAAATATGCCATAATAACAAACATTGAATTTATTTGTACATTATTCTATCGACAATGCCCATCCAATACTCGGCGGCAAACATGCATGAAATACAATCATTAAAAAATTTGAATTTTTTTCTTAAATATATTTTTCTTTTGTTGCTCTAAAGGAATGTGATTGAATAAATATTTACAAAACAAAAAACGCGGACAGTTCAAGCGAATAGTTTATAAAAATAATTATAATAATAATAATAAAAATTAAAAATAAAAAAATATTTAACACTGGGGCTGGTCCATTAAATTTTAATGGTTTCACAGCAGACGACTGCCTCTGCGTCTCCGTCTTCATCTTCATCTGAGAATGGAATGTGAGAACTGCTCCACCTCCTCCTCCGCAGATGTTGATCCAACGGATGATCACTTCATGTCTTCTTTGACATCCAATGCTTCATTGACGTAGGCATTATTGTTCGCAGCATGATTGTTTGTATTGCCCTCTTTGTGTGTCATTTCCAGAGCTTTTTGTTCATCGGTCTTGGCCCATTCTTGTAGCTCGCCAGATGCCCACAGCCAGTAGATGACACAGCCAACCAAATAAACACCAGCCGAAATGAAGAAGACCGTCTTCCATTCTTCGCTGGTTTGATTCACCACCAAATAGCCTGTCAACATGGGACTAACAATTCCGGGTATGGTGGCAAATGTATTGCCAATGCCCATCAAGACACTGGCATGCTGTGGGGCAATATCCAAGTGATTGACACTGAAAAAGGGGATTACAAAAAAAAAATAATTTTTATAGGAATTGAAAGAAGGTTAAATATTTGGCGCAAAAATTAAAAAAAAATAAAAGAAAGATTCGGGAGACTCTCTTGTTCGGAAGCCTATTACAAAATTCTAGATTTTACCTCAGGAAATTCTTTAAAAAACCTTAAATCGAAAATTCTGAATTTTTAAAAAAATTTTCTTGGTCGGAAGACTATTACAAAATTCTGGGTAAGGAATTTAAAAAAAAAAACTTAAATCGAAAATTTTCATTTTTTTAAAAAAAATTATCTTTGTGGGGCGATAACTGAGGAACTGCGCCCACATTTTAAGCAATAATATAAAATAAAAAATATATCGATTTTTGGCCCATTACAAAATTCTAGACTTTGCGCCAAAATTCAAAATTATACAAAAATATTACGTATAATCCAAATTCTCGATTTTTCAAATAAAAAAAAAAATATTTAAAAAGTATCAGTCGGTTTTGCCGATAGATGTATACCCCTCAGCCAATATTCATTATTTAAATATATTTTGACTTCAGGTATGATTATTGGAATTGTTGACCCTCTATCTTCCCATGGTAAGGACCAATATTTTCCATTTCGTATCGGACCTAAATATATTCCATATCTATCTCAGGTTTCTGGTCGAGAGAAATACTTGGATATAGCAATTTGTAGAGAATCGTTATGACAGATAAAAGTATTGAAAATTCGCAGATACAGGGTGAAATAAAAAAACTGCAACAAAGTCAACGCCATAATTTTTTCTTTGTTTTCAATTGTATTGAATGAATACAAAAAATTTCGGAAATAGCATCCAATTTTAGAACAAGTTTAGATTTGTGCGAATTGGTCACCTTTGGCACGAATTATGCCCTTCAAATGGCCAATGAAACCGTCACACGTTGCCCGAATGTTGCTCTGCGGTATTTTAGCCCATTCCCTGCGAAGCGCTTGTTGAGGTGATCGACCCTTTGGTATTTTTTAGTACCATTCTTGGGTGGTGCGTGCTGAGTCCGATGACGCTAAGTCCTGTTGGAATGTCCAAGGTCTGCGGCCAAAATATTTGCGTGCCCAAGGCTTTAATATCCTCTCGGCATTTATTCTGATGGCACGGCCGATTAATACGATAAAATAAGGGCGGAGAGCGAGCATCGACTGTTATGGCGGCCCACACCATCTCCATGGCCGGTGCTTGAGTTGTGGTGGCCAACCGAAGGTGCATATTTTCAGCTGACCTCTTTGGCAAGTAAAAACGATCATTTGTTCGTTTGTTTGTTTACAAACTGGTGGAAAACGAATGTTTTCTCATCGGAGAACCAAATTCGGCAGTTCACCACATTCGGCCAAGCGAAGCAACTCTTTAGCTCTTTTGAGCCTTCTTTTTTTTTTTGTTGCGGTAAAAATTCTCACCAAAATGCCTTTGTACGCTTGTAAACAATATAATGAGATGTCACTGGAATAATTTTAACAGCTGTCGGACGAGTGGTTTAGAAATGACAGCTGTCTAAAGTTCAAGATATTTTGATGCTTGTTTTGCCTTCTTTGAGCGTTTTGTTCTTGAACCCTATGTGGGGCAAGTACCTGAAAAATGATCCGATCTCTACCATATTTATAAAACATCTTCTGTTGATGGAAATATTGAAATGTGCCAAGTCTGAATGGAATCCGATGTTAATTTCGCTTTTTTAAGCTTCATGGATATTCAAAATTTTTACCCTTTGTAGGGCAGGTAGCCGAAGGAGTGGATCGATATTTCCATCTTCACAGCAGATTTTGTCGTAGTAGAAATAATGGGATGTGTGAAATATGAAGAGAACCGGATGCCTATTTCCGATTTTATAAGCGTCTTGGTTATTCAAAATTTACCCCTTGTGTGGGAGGTACCAGTGTTGATGGAAATATTGAGATGTGCCAAGTCTGAATGGAATCGGATGTTAATTTCGCATTTTATGAGCTTCATGGATGTTCAAAAATTTGACCCTTTGTCGGGGAGTTACCAGAAGGTCGACCGATATATTCCATCTTCACAGCAGATCTTGTGTTAGTAGAAATAATGGGATGTGTCAAATATAAAAGAGAACCGGATGCCTATTTCCGATTATATAATCCTTTTGGTTATTGAAAACTTTGACCCCTTGTGGGGAAGGTACCAGAAGAAATGGTCCGATCTCTACCATCTGTATAACATATTTTGTGTTCATGGAAATATTGTGACGTAGCAGGTCTGAGTGGAATCGGATGTTGATTTCGCATTTTATGAGCTTCATTGATGTTCAAAATTTTGACCCTTTGTCGGGGAGTTACCAGAAGGTCGACCGATATATTCCATCTTCACAGCAGATCTTGTGTTTGTAGAAATAACGGGATGTGTAAAATAAAAAGAGAACCGGAAACTTATTTCGGATTATAAAATAGTTTTGGTTATTCAAAACGTTGACCCTTTGTGGGCGAGGTACCAGAAGGAGTAGACCGACATATCCCATCTTCACAGCAGATCTTGTGTTAGTAGGAATAATGGGATGTGTGAAATATCGGATTATCGTTTATCGTTCTGTGCAGAATATATATATATATATATATATATATATATATATATATATATATATATATATATATATATATATATATATATATATATATATATATATAAATATATATATATATATATATATATATATATATATATATATATATATATATATATGTGTATATATATATATATATATATATATATATATATATATATATATATATATTTTATTTTTTTTTTTTTTTTGTTGAAAATTTCGACCTTTTGTGGGGGAGGTACCAGAAGGGGAGGACAGATATATTTATACCCTACAACACTATGTGTTGGGGGTATTATAAGTTTGATTGGGCCAAAAATTATGTAACACCACGAAATATTGATTTCCCACATAGGAAAGTATATATGGATCTTCCTAGCTCGCCGAGCTGAGTCGATCTAGCTATGTATGTCCGTCCGTCCGTCTGTCCGTCTGTCCATGTTAATTTGTAATCACTCTACAGGTCGCAATTATGGTCCGATCTTCACGAAATTTAAAATGGAGGTGGGGCTAGGGTCAGAATAGAACCCTATTTCTTTTGGTGATGATCGCATAATATTTAAGGGTTGAAATGGACCAAAAACTGAAAAAATTCCTGATTTTGCACTAGCTCTACAGGTCGCAATTATAGACCAATCGACGCGGAATTTCGCATGTAGCTAGAGTTTAGGGCTGGCAAGAAGCCTACCCATTTGGGTGGTCATCGGATAATATTTAGCGGGTAAAATAGACCATATCTTTTTTGTTGAAAAAATTCAAAATTTTTCATTAAACCGCGAATATTTTAAATCCCAGCGAAATCACAAAGCCATGACAAGGTTACTTCTGATCTTTACATTGATGTTAACATCCAACAAAACGGATATATAGCAAAATATGTGCGATATATAGGTCTATCACAGGAGATATGCTTGAAAAATCTCTTATATGTCGAGCACGGCTGAACTGATTTCGACAGTTCTCATTAATTCAGAATGGCCTCTTGACAGGAAACAAAAAACGTCTAAAAAAATCGCATAAAAATATCTCTCTAAAGATGAAAATATTGATTTTCTAACATTTTCTCATATTTTTTCCATTTTGTCATATTTTTGGCATATTTTCATTTTGAATTAAACATTTGGTAATATTTCTACAGCTAACAAAACTAAGTAGTTAGGATATCATATACAGATCGCATTTATGGCCCGATCCTTACGAAATTTTGCATGGAGATAAGATGAGGGTCAGAATAGAAGCCTACTTTTTTGGAGATGATCGCCATATATTTAGGGGTTGAAATGGACCAAAAAACTGCAAAATTGTCAGGAGGTCGTAATTATCGCCCCATCCTCACGCATATTTGAATGGGGGTTACTGGACTTTGCAATCCAAGCAGTTTTGGATGGCCATCCAAAAATATTTGTATTTGTAGACAAAATACGAAAATGTCCACTCTAGTGACTTTTTGGAGAATTCACAAACACAGGAAAGACGCACTTCTGACTATTTCGTTAACGCCGATTTCGTTGAAGATTATAGTCAAATGTCTGTATCTCATATAGATGCGTTTCAGTCAAAAACTAATAATAAATGTTAATCTTTTGCCACTTCTGAGAGATTATAGGTCTTTGGGAAATATTGGTTCCAGATCTAGGAAGACCATTTACGTGCAACATCTACCAATAAATCGGAAATGAGCAAATTAGTTTAAGTTGCTATTATTCGAAAATTAGAGAACGAAACCTGATGGTTGTCTTTTATTATTTGTCACAATATCTTGTGAAATTCTGTCGAGTATTTCGCCTAATAAACTGTATGGTTTATTATAGTGTTGTAGGGTATTCAACGGTCGGCCCCGCTCGACTGTAGCCTTTGCTTACTTGTCTATATTCACACCAGACCCTGGATTAATAAAAATATTGTAATGTGTATAATTTGATGACAATCGAACTCTTCCATTACATTTTTACTTAAAATTCTGACCCTTTGTGGGGAAGGTACTTGAGGTGTGAACCTATATTACCCATTTTCGCATCTGACCTAGCACTGATGCAAATATTAGGATTTGCAAAGTTTGATAAAAATCGGATCATCTTTTCTCTTTCTGTGCAGTAAAATATATTTTTTTTACATTTTGACCTTTTTTCGGAGAGGTACCAGAAGGAATTGTCCCATCTTGCCCATTTCCGAACTGGATCTAAGTTTGACAATAATATTACGATGTACCAAATTTAGACCAAATCGGATACTCCCTTCGAGAATTATCATACGCAAATGCCAGCCAGACAGACATACGGACGGACGGATATCGCTAGATCGACTTTAAATGTCCTGAGACGGATCTGGTCCAAAGAGACCTAAGATCTAAAATCGTTATTCCGATGAGGCTTGCTTTGGCAAAATCAAATGATATAGCCAGCCATATGGTTGAAGGTGTAAAAATATTTATTTGATTCTTGGGCCATTACAGAATTCTAGATTTTGCGCCAGGAAATCCTTTAAAAAATCCTAGTACATGCTCACACTTATACAAAAAAAACCTCCTTGTGTGGTGATGGCGGAAGAACTCGACCCCTAATTTTCCATTAAAAAAAAGTTGAGCTAAGACAAAATTATGATATTCGAAGTTGGAAACTCTTCAAAATGTTGCCCGTTTCTATAGGGGGTCTTTCTGCAGGTCCTCTATCCACAAAGGACATTTCGGAGGAGTTATATCCTTAGAAGACCTCTTGAATACATTTATCTTTAAAACACCTAGTTGAGGTCTACTTTTCATTAAATGCTTCTGGAAGGACTTTTATCCATAGAACATCTCTTGAAGCTGGTTTATCCAGATAAAGCCTATTGGGAAAAACCCACTCCATTAGAAGAGATTTTGAAGATTCTCGATTAAAAAAAAAAACTATCTTTGTATGGCGACAGCAGAAGAACAGCACCCATATTATCCACTTTTAAAAAATTTAATCTTAGCTGATAAGGCAAAATTATGATATTCGAAGTTTTTGAAGTTCCTCTATCCACACAGGGCATTTTGCAGGGGTTCCATCCTACGAAGACCTCTTGAAGGCATTTATCTTTCGAACACTTATTTTAGGCGTCCTATTCATAAAATACTTCAATAAGAGCTTTTATCCATAGAACGCTTCTTGAAGGTCTTTTATGCATAGAAATCCTGTTGGAAATCATCAATGGATGATTAGAAGAGATTTTGAAAATTAGAGGCTAATTGCACCTCCCATGAGGATAATGATTTGTTAAATGTCGGAAGAGTAAAACGATATAATTTTTTTCATAAATACTACTTACGCAAATCCAGACCAGGCAAAGGCGCCCAGGCCCACAGCTATGGTAATGCAGACCACAGACCAGGTGGGGTCCAACAGATAGGCTGTGAGCACCATGAAAACTGTTTGGGCCAAGAAGGCGCCACAATTGAAGTTACGTCTAACTTGGGTGGTAGTCCAAATGCCCTTGACTTGAAGCCAATCGGCCAAATAACCTGAGACGCCCAAGAGGATGCCCATGGCAAGATAAGGCACAGCTGAAAGGAAACCAGTTTTATCCAAATCAAAGTTGAGGGAATCTGAAAAAATATAAAAATTAAATTAAAATTAAACATTAATTTATTAATTTACTTTAAAAATCTAATAATTCCGAACTCACCCTTAAGGAACGACGGCAACTGTGTGAGCAGCGTATAGAAACCCCAATTTTCGGAGAAATGTGAGGCAACAATGGCATAAAATGGCAACGAAGTAAATATCGCTTTCCACGGATGTTTAATGTTACGTTGACCCACCACACCGATTTTCTTCATAATATAGTCACGTTCATTCTGAGAACAGAAACGATCCTTATCGGGGCCAGAACGTACAATGACCATCCATAGAACCAGCCAGACACAGCCAATGGCTCCAAAGACATAGAACACACTTTCCCAACCATAGGCGGAGGCGAGCAGACCCGACGAGGGCATAGCAATGACGGTACCGGCATAATTTCCAGCAAAAGCTATTGAAGCCATACGAGAGCGTTCGAGAGGTGGCGACCAGCGCGACCATACGGCATGAATACAGGGGAATGTGACGCCCTGGGAGGGAGGGGGAAATGTAAGATTTTATTTTATTCAGAGAGGAAATGGAATTTTGTCTACTCACTTCGAAAACACCTTCAATAATACGCACAGCCAATAACATTTCCAAGCTATGTTTGGCCGCCATGGGTGTGAAGAGTGTCAAGATAGCTGTGGCTCCAATGCCAATACCAAAGACCTGGAAACGATAAAATAGTTGGAAAAGACATTTAAAATAATTAAAAAAAATTAAATCCATGAAATCCCTGTAGAAGGACTTATAGGCACATGAGACCCGTATAAGGTCCCTTAGTCCCAGAAGACCTGTGAAAGTTCCTTTAGCCATAGAATACTTTTGGAAGATGTTCCAGCTACAGAGGACCTGTAGAAGGTCTTCTACTCATAGGAGAGCTGTAGAAGGAATTCCAGTCATAGAAGAGATGCAGAAGGTCTTCTAGCCATAGAAGACTCCTGTAAGGTCTTCTCGCCTGTGGAAGGTCTTCTAGCCATAGAGGAGCAGCAGCAGGCCTTCTAGCCATAGAAGAGCTGCAGAGGGTCTTCTATCCACAGAAGAGTTGCAGCAGGTCTTCTAACCATAAAAGACCTCTATCCATAGAAGACCTGTGGAGGTTCTTTTAGTCATGGAAAACCTGCGGAAGGTCTTCTAGCCACAGAAGACCTGTGGAAGGTCTTCTAGCCACAGAAGACCTGTAGAAGGTCTTCTAGCCACAAAAGGCTTCTGGAAGGTCCTCTACCCATAGAAGGCCCGTGGAAGTTCTTTTAGCCATAGAAGAGCTGCAGGAGGTCGTCTGGTCATAGAAGAACTGCTGAAGTATTTCTATCCCCAGAAGATCTATATAAGGTCTTCTAGCCATAGAAGTCCTGTGGAGGTTCTTTTACCCATAAAAGGCCTGTGGACGTTATTTTAGCCATAACAGACCTGAGGAAGGTCTTCAAGCCACAGAAGGCCAGTGGAAGGTCTTGCAGACATAGCAGACCTCTAGAACATCTTCTGAACATAGAAGGCCTGTGGAAGTTCTTTTAGCAAAAAGAAAAGCTGTAGGAGGTCTTCTAGCCATAGAAGACCCGTAGCAGGTTTTTTAACCATAGACGACCTGCAGAAGAGCTGCAGAAGGTCTTATGGCCACAGAAGACCTGCAGAAGGTCTTCTGGCCATAGACGACCTGCAGAAGGTCTTCTGGCCATAGACGACCTGTAGAAGGTCTTCTAGCCGTAGAAGACCTGTAGAATGTCTTCTAGCCATAGAAGACCTGTAGAAGGTCTTCTGGCCATAGAAGACTCCTGGAAGGTTTTCTCGCAAAATAAGACCCTTGGAAAGTCTTCTAAGGGTTATCTTGACATGCAGAATGTCTTTTAGCCATAGAAGCCCGGTAGAATGTCTTCTAACAATAGAATACCTGTATGAGGTCTGCTAGTCTGTTAAGAGCCCACTGTCCATAAAGACCCTTAGTTTATGAATATGCGTCGTTTTTTTATTTTAATTAATTAATTTTCATTTTAATCGAGAAAACTCCGCTACTTACCAGATTACCACCTATCTTCGCCCCAATGAAGCCACCAATAAACTGCGTCATAATGTAGCCATAGAAAAATGAACTCAAAATGAGACCTTTTTGCTTTGAATCCCAGGGGAAATCTTGCTCCCATGATTCGTTGCCCAGCTCATCGATGACGGTGCGGTTTTCTGTCATTGCCACAATGGCAACACTTAAATTGACACGCAATGAATAGACATTGAAGAAACCGAAGAAGGCCAACAAGACCACAATGTAGCGGCGTTTTCGCCAAAATCTCCATGTGAGTGGTTCATCTTCGACAATATCGGCGCTGGAAAGGAAATTATGAGAAAGGGGAATAGAAAGAGAAAATTAATAAAATGAAAGTAATTTCATAATGTCAGGAAGGTATTGAACTGTAAAGAAAGTGGTAATAAGTCAGAGCGCACTTACAACTTCGGATTTTCAATAAAAAGAAATAATTGTAATTTTTGTTTAGATTGTGTTTCTAATATTATATATGTTTTATATGTTTTAAACCACATTTCCAAAAAAAATACAACAGTATGGACTGTAGCTAAGTGTACACTCATAGAAATTATGATTTTCCAAAAAAAAAATCACAAAAATTGTATTCGTATTGTATTAAATGGCAATTATCCAGCCAGAGTAAACGTTTTCTATCAACAAAGCCTTCATAGGGCGTAATATCAAATTTCAGAGCATACTTCCAGGCGCACTCTCAATTATTGCCTCTATGAAGGAAGACATATATCAAGTGTTCTCTAAATTGAAAACAATACCACTATGTATAGAAGAGATTTCATAGAGAAAAAGATTCTGAAAAGGTATTCAATGGCTCGATCATATTTGAAGATTCTACCAGAAGTAAATGGACCTTCTGATGGATAAAATGCGCCATGAGGAATTTTAAAGAGATTTATAAAATTATTTTTGTCGTCTTTTAAAGACAGGTAATTTTTACGGCATAATCTCTAAATGTCTTTTCTTATATTAAAAAACTTGTGGAGGTCTATAAATATAAGTATTTTAGATATTTCGCTATGGGGTCTTTTAGCAAAAAATACCGAATAATGTCATCTACATATTGCGAATTATTTCCACTATCAGATATTAAATTAATACCTATACAGGGTGAGATGATAAAACTGAAACCAACTTCAGACTGCTGTCATTTCTCAGCCATTCGTTCGGCAGCTGTTAAAATTATTCCAGTGACAGCTCATTATATTGCTTGAAAGCGTACAACAGAAAGAAAATAGACTCAAAAGAGCTAAAAAGTTGTTTAGCTTGGCCGAAAGTGGTGAACTGCCGAATTTGGTTTTCTCCGTCGAAAACATTTGTTGTCCAGCAGTTTGTAAACAAAAAATATGTGAGTATTTACTTGCCGAAGAGGTCAGCTAAAAATGTGCACCTTCGGTTGGCCACCAGAACTCAAGCGTTGGCCATGGTGATGGTGTGGGTCGCCATAACAGCCGATGGTCCCTCTCCGCTCGTATTAATCGACCGTGGCATCACATTAAATGCCGAATATTATTGCGAAAATATTCTGGAGGGAAGACGCAGACCTTGGACATTCAAACAGGATTCAGCACCGTCGCACTCAGCACGCGCCACCTAAGAATGATTACAAAATAAGGTTCCTCGCTTCATTTCCAGCGCACAAAAGCCACCAAAATCTCCGGATACCAAGCCGTTGGACTATTGTGTCTGGAGTAATTTGGAAAGCAAGGTTGGGACTAAAAAATACCAAAATTTATATCACCTTAAGCAAGCTCTTCGCCGGGAATGAGCCAAAATACAATAGAGCTACATTCGGACAGCGTGTGATGGTTTCAATGGCCGTTTGAAGGCCATAATTCGTACCAAAGGTGATCAATTCGAACAAATCTAAACTTATTCTAAAATTTGATTCTATTTCCGACATTTTTTGCTTTCATTCAATAAAATTAAAAAAAAATTTAATTGTGGCGTTTGACTTTGTTTAATATTTTTTTTCTCACCCTGTAGATATTAATGACGTATAGAAGGTCTTCTAGCCATAGAAGAGCTGCAGAAGATCTTCGGCCCATAGAAGTCCTGTAGAAGATCTTCTAGCCATAGAAGAGCTGCAGAAGATCTTCTAGCCATAGAAGAGCTGTAAAAGATCTTCTGGTTATAGAAGAGCTGCAGAAGATCTTGTGACGTATAGAAGATCTTCCAGGTCTATAGAAGATCTTCCAGCCACAGAAAACCTGTACAGGGTCTTCACGCCATAGAAGATCTGTGGAAGGTGTTACGGCCATGGAAGACTCGTAGAGATCTCCTAGCCATAGAAGGCCTCTAGTAGTTCTCCCAGCCCTAGTAGGACTGTAGAAGTTCTTCCAGAAGACCTGCTATACCTATAAGGTCTTCTACATCCATTTGAATGTGACATCATTTTTACTACAATTCTGTTGGTACTCAAACCTAATAAAAAATTAGAAACTCGATAAGTATTTTAAATATTTATCTATAAAAAATATCAAAATCATCCAAAGGTTGATTTTATTAAAAATTTATGGATCTATTCCAATTTTAACAAATTGCATACTCAATTCCCAATTAATTACCAACCATTATAATTATTTAATCTCCATCTCATCACATTTCTTAACATTTATTTTAATTAACAAATTACAATTAATTTTGAATTTCAAATTAATATTTTGAAAAAAAAAAATGTTGATTTTCTTAACGGCTACTACCGCTCATCCACTTACATTCATACTAACCTAACCTACCCCAATGCATCATTTGGTGGTCAGACTTAATCAAACCAACTCATGGATAGTTAACTTACACTCCGTCTGTGTGTCTCTCTCCCAAGCAGTCACTGTTGGTCTGTTAGTCATTCACTTTCGCTTTCACAATACGACGACGGGTAACGAACGATTGAATGTCGGTGGTTGCGCATAGAAGAAATAGGTTCGATGATGATGTTGGTGGCTGTGACGCGAGTTGGATATTGCGACCACAAACAAATGTTGTATGTGTTCGTTTGCCAGCTGCGTTGTACCAGGCGCATGAGTATGAACACACGTGTCGGCAGTGTAATAGTTACACTCGAAGAAAGTCGTTGGTAGACAATTAATAAAAATTAAGCAGGGAAGAGGTGAATGAACGGAATCATTAAATAATTTTTAACAATTTGAACCAAACAAAATGAAATGTACTTAATAAAATTGATTTTTAGCTACCTGAAATATTTAATACCTTTCAAAATACAATGGAGGGTCAGAATCAGAATCAGATCAGAATAAAATTAGGAGGCGATGTAGCCATGTTCGTCTGTCTGTTGAAATCTTTTTATCTAGAGCTTTGAATTTTGGCACATATGTATGTTTATATTATATACAGGCTGATTGGTATTGAAAATGGGATATATTGCTACACTTTTAGGTATGGCCCCCATATAACACGGTACTTCCCGACTTTCGGTATTTTGAACGTTTCCACCACAATATCAAACCTAATTATCTGAAAGGTGACAATTGGGGTTCCCAGTAGTTCAACTCTCTCCCTGCAAAAAATATTTGCTGCATCTCCACTAATTGATATAGCTCCCATAAAACGGTTCCTCACGATTTTCGGTATTTCAGTCACAATTGCCAACCAAATAAAATGAAACTTTACGTTTGGGGTTCTTGAAAGGTATTTTCTTTCTTTGCTAAATATATTTCGGGTCAATTAATTTGTATAGCCCTAACATATCGGTACCTCCCGATTTTTGGTATTTTGAAGCATCCTGACACGGTTTCCAACCACATAAGCTAAAACTTGACAATTGGGGTTTTCGGTAGGTCTGTGCTCTCCTTGTAAAAATATTTGCTACAGGTTCACTAATTGATATAGCCCCCTTATTGCGATCCATCCGGATTTTTGATATTTTAAGGGTTTCAGTCACAACTTCTAACCAAATCAAATTAAACTTAACATTTGGGGTTTTTGAAAGGTATGTTCTTTCGTTGCGAAATATATTCGATTCGGGTCAATTAATTTGTATAGCCCTAACATAACGGTACCTCCCGATTTTCGGTATTTTGAGTGTTTCAGTAACAATTTTAAACCAAATCAACTAAAACTTGACATTTGAGGTTCTTGAAAGGTATTTTCTTTCTTAGCGAAATATATTCAATTCAGGTCAATTAATTTGTATAGCCCTAACATAACGGTACCTCCCGATTTTCGGTATTTTAAGGCTTCCTGCCACAATTTCCAACCACATACGCTAAAACTTGACAATTGGGGTAGGTCTGTGCTCTCCTTGTAAAAATATTTGCTACAGGTTCACTAATTGATATAGCCCCCTTATTACGATCCGTCCGGATTTTTTGTATTTTAAAGGTTTCTGTCACAACTTCCAACCAAATCAAATGAAACTTAACATTTGGGGTTCTTGAAAGGTCTGTTCTTTCCTTGCCAAACATGTTCGAATTCCGACCAGATTAGATATGGCCTCAGCCATATGGCTGCAGAGGGTATATATCATTTAATACTGCCAAAACGTGTCCCATTGAAATAACGGTTTTAGACCCTAGGTCTCTTTGGACCAAATCCATTTCAGGACATTTGGAGTTGATCTAGCGTTGTTCGTCCGTCTATCTAGCTGGTGCACACGATAACTCTCGAATGTCGTAATATTATTATAAAACTTAGATCGAGTTCGGAGATGAGCAACATCGGTCCACTCCTTCTTTTACCTCTCCAAATATAGGTCGCAATTTTCAAAACAAAACAAATATTTTACTGCCCGGAAAGAGAAATCACAATCCGATTTTGCTTCAACTTTACAAATTCTAATATTTGCATCAGTGCTAGATCAGGTGCGAAAATGGACAATATCGGTACACTCCACCAAGTACCTCCCATGCAAAGAATCAAAGTTTTGAATAATTATAACTTTTATAAAATGTGATGTAATAATCTGATTGGCTTCAAATTACACATATCACAATATTTTTATTAACTGGTACCTCTGGTACCTCCCCCACAAAAGGGTCAAAATGCTGAATAACCATTAAGCTCATAAAATGCGAAATTAACATTCGATTTCGTTCAGACATGGTACGAGTCAATATTTCCACCAACAGAAGATCTGTTACAAATATAGTAGAAATCGGACCACTCCTTCTGGTACCTCCCCCAAAAGATCAAGATTTTGAAAACCAAAAACCATTATAAAATCGGAAATAAGCATCCGGTTCTCTTCATATTTCACAAATCACAATATTTTTATTGACCCAAGATCTGGTGTAAGGATGGTATATATGTCCACATCTTCTTGTACCT